GCTTCAAAACCGTTGCTGCTGGTGATGCTGTATGGACTGTCCGTACATCGCGCAGCGTTAGTTTTTTGTTTATTGTATGTTTTTGGGCGCTGTTGCAGCGCGGCGCTTCCCATCCTTCTCACAGTCCTCATTGCGTGTAACTTTGCAAAGGTTTTCTGTGCGCTTGCGCTGATCAAGTGTTTTCAGTCGAGTCTATCGCTTGATCTGTTGGAGTCGACCCTACTGCGGTTATCGCGTTGCAGCGCTGCATCTTTCATGATGACTGTCACTTGCAGTGAAAAATGTATTGATGGCATTACTTGTTGGTACTGAGCGGAGTATACTGTGCACTTGTGCTGCGCAACTGTTTCCCGACCATGCATACCCTACTGAGGTTGTCGCGGCGTGACGCTGCATCTTTCATGACCTGTGCCAGTGAATGACACATTTGGTCCTGAGGAAAACTTGCCTGTTGTGTTGAAAAAATGCATTGTTTTTAAGGAGTGGTGTCAGGACTACGCAGGCGAATTGGTTTGATGGAAGTGATCAAAGTACTCCAGTTGGTGGAGCCGGAGTTTTGAAAGCCGGCTCATGAAAAGAGCGGGTCATCCTGGCCACACATGCGCAGCAGCACCAAACCTGCATCTTGAAGTGCAAATCGGCTCAGAATCAATCAAACATACAGGTTTCATTTCTTTATGTTGTCCATGATGCTGCGCGCGAGGTGCAACTCTCCTTTTAAATATCGGCTTACAATGGCGTTTCACGGCATGCGAAGCAACGTGCTGGACTCTGCAAGCATGTTCAAGTTTGTAGACCTGAACGAACATTGTTTGGTTTCACCCTTCGAACTCTGTGGTTTCTATAGGGACTGTCCATGAGACTACAGCTGTGCAAATGAGATGCGGATCGAAGGTGCGCCGAAGGACTGGACGCAATACTTCTAGCAACGAAAGGTTTGTGGCTTCCTGCTTGGGGTGGAAGGCAATGTGTGGGGACCTCTGGAAGCAGTCCATGCTGGCGGTGGCCAAGGACGAATCCATGCTCTGCCACTGCTTTGGTGTCGGAGCGCCAGGGTTCTGCGTGCCTGGCTCATTGTAGGTTTCAACTACTCTGCGGAGGACCTTGTTCTGAGGGCTCCTCCAACCTTTCAAGGTTTGTTGGAGAACCCCTCACACCTTTCAAGGCTTTCTGCCATTAAAAGCCTGGTGGGTGATGGGAGCACCTCAAACCTTTTAAGGTTTGTTAGCAAAACCTCTCAGGGTTCATAGGAGAACTTCTCAAGCCTGGCAAAGTGCTTTTGTGATTGGGTTTCCCATAGGACTGACTGACTGCCATGTTTCCATACATGGGTGCTTTGGTGTGTGTTTGGCATACCTTGTAGCATATATAAGAAGAAACATGTAACATGTATGCACACTGGCCCAGCAATGAACACTTCAACAACTGAAAAGAATACTCCCTGGAACAGCACAAGCCAACAGAAATATAGTACACATCTCTGACAGGATAGGTCCAAAGAAGTGCCAAATTCAATATTTGGCAATTTCAGCATGGCAGTACAGCCAGCCCTGAAAGCAAAGACACAGACAGGGTCCTGGAAACGCTTAGCTTCCTCTAGCTTGGCTTAGTTGTCTTTAGCTCTGCTTAGTTTGGTAGGTCGCCTATATTTTTACCTAGAGCTGTGAAGCAACCACTTAAGAAGCGATAACATAGGTGTTAGAATGATGGAAGGTTTGCGCGCCGAGTGGCACGAGGAATTCATCGCCGCAGTCAGGATCGTTGATGTTTGAATCCGCCGCTGCAAATATTTTCTTGTGCATTTTCGAACATGAGATTCTCTGCGGGCAGTGTTTCAGTCGAACGCGCAAAAACACGAGATAATTGGGACCGCAGCTTCTCTGTAGGGACTGTCCGTGACGAGCCCACAAAATCATCAGAGAAAAATGTTCAACAATATGCAGCGCTGTCTCTTGATAATCCAACTTGAAGACAAAAAGTCTCATCTGGTAGGAGTGCGCAACCCTGCATGACCGTGGCCTCTGCAGTGTCTGAGGTGACTCCTGCGCCAGTTTGGTACCGGCCGGTGTTGTTGATGGATGCTCTTGGTCTTGAGTTGAACCACGTTCCACTGAAATGAAGTCAGATTACTGCAATGTGTTTAGCGTTATGCTTGGACAACTGAGAATGTGTCCGTTTCGATGCTGTCACTTGCAATCATGCGCGTGCAACAACATGTCATCACATCGAAATATAGGTCGGCTTTGCTGCTAAGGTTGACATTTCTGAGCCAAGTCGTTTCACTGCGGTTCCTACATATCAGCGCGCCAGCTCCAGCAAAACTCGCGTAAAAATGCAATTTGGAGGTGTCCGCTGCAACCCTTTCGCGCGCAATGGACCTTGAACGTCATCGCGCCCAGGCGCGGGCAAATCAGCTCAGGACCATAGTTCTGATGTTACACCGCCCCATTCCAGAATGCCACACCATTTGCAATGAAAACCAAGAATTCAGCTCCGTACCGAAATGGTGAAATCACGATGCCAACACGATTCAGCTCAGTACCGCAGTGGTGAAAGCACAATGCCACCACGATACATCTCACCCAGACGCAGGCAAGTCAGCTCAGGACCATAGCTCTGATGTTACACCGCCCTGTTCCAGAATTCCACATCATTTGCGATGAAATTAACAATTTCAGCTCAGTACCGAAATGATGAAATCACGATGCCATCACGATGCATCTCGCCCAGACGCAGGCAAATCAGCTTAGTTCCATAGCTCTGATGGTGCGCCGCCCTATTCCAGAATTCCACACAATTAGCAATGATAATTAAAAATTCAGCTAAGTACCTTCTTCTCTCCGTCTTCACACATCATCTTCCACGGTTCCTCTTCACACATCGTCTTGACACACCTGCTTGCACTTCAACACCTTGTCTTCTTTTGCATCTTACTTGTCTTTCTCCGGAAATATCTGTCACTTTTTTCGACCTTCTTTACACATGTTTCCTCAGCAGCCTTCCTTCAAAACAATCATTCATTTGAATACTTGTAACTTTGGTACCTGTATGTTTCCCCAATAGCGATAGCTTGGGGTTGTACACTGTTCAGGCGGCTGGGCGCCGTCGGGCCGTCGGATCCACAGCCCCCGGCCTGGGCGGTGGTGTCTCGGTGTTTCGGTCATGTTTAGGTGGTGTCTCGGTCATGTTTAGGCGGTGCCCCGGTCTGTTTTTTGTTGTGTTTCGGTCATTTTGGGAGGTTTAGGCGGCGTCTCGGTCATGTTTAGGTGGTGCCTCATTAATGTTGCGGTGGTGTGTGGGTCATGTTTAGGGGGTGTCTCGGTCATGTTTGGTGGTGTCTCGGTCATGTTTAGGTGGTGTCTCGGTCATGTTTGTGGCGTCTCGGTGATGTTGAGGAGGTGGTGTCTCGGTCATGTTTCTGCTGTGTCTCGGTCATGTTTAGGTGGTGTCTCAGTCATGTTGAGTTGAATTCCCGGTCATTCTTTGGGCATGTTTAGGTTGTGTCTCGGTCATTCTTTGGCTTTGTCTCAGGCATGTTTAGGTGGTGCCTCCGTGATAATTTGGTGGTGTGCTTGTTTTATTTGATGGCGTTTCGGTCATGTTTGGGTGGTGGGTCGATATGTTTAGGCGCTGTCTGGGCGGCCATGTTTCAGTGGTACATCGGTTTTGCTTTGGTGGTGTGGTGTCTCGGTTGTGTTTGGGCGGTATCTTGTCTGTCTGTCTGTCTGTCTCTGTCTGTCTCTGTCTGTCTCTGTCTGTCTCTGTCT